CAATACCTCTGAGCATGTGCCGAGGGCATTTCCCTCTCTGCAAGGCTTGGCTTTACCGGCTTTGGGAGGCTTAACTTTCACAGCGTCTTGAACTTGGAAAACTCAAGCCCTCTTGACCCCCAATTTTCTTTTAAGTGTCAGCCGCCTGATAAAGAATGTTTGCATTTAAATCTTTGCATTTAAAGGGCAGTAGTGGTATTTTGGTTCTTTTAAATGCACATTTTGTTCTGATGTGTTTTTCAGGAATATCCTTGGGAGCCCTGGCAGGATGGACCATACATTTTGCTTTGTTTTGTTTTGTATTGTATTGTATTGTATTTGTACCCCATTTTTGTATTGTATTGTACCCCATTTTTGTATTGTACAATACAATACAATACAATTTTGTATTGTACAATACAATGCAATGCAATACAATACAAAAATTGTACCCCATTTCTGTATTGTATTGTATTTGTACCCCATTTTTCTCCCAGTAAGGAACCCAAGGCAGTGCACATCGTAAATCAGAACAAAATAATTTTAGTGTTGGACTATAATTCTGGAGACTAGGGTTGGAGGATTACGATTATTATTTGCTAGTTTATATTATTTTCCTACCTGATCCAAACACCTGGGCTAACTTTTACAATGGGGTAAAAAATCATATGATGACCCAGATGTCATTGGACTGCAACTCCTAGCATTCCTCCCTGCTGCCTTTGCTGGCTCAGGTTGACTAGAGTGACAGCCCAACAATAGCTGGAGGACGCTATGATTCCCAGCCCATCTTTACAATAATCCTGTAAGAAAGAGGGATAGAATCATAAAATCATAGAGTTGGAAGAGACCACAAGGGCCATCCAGTCCAACCCCCTGCCATGCAGGAACTCCCAATCAAAGCAATCAACGAGGGAAGAAATAGAGATGAGGAGTGTAGCTTTTCTCAGCCTGGTGCCCTTAGACATGATGGATAACACCATCCCCCATGTTGATGGGGATGATGGGAGCTGTACTCCAGCATATACAGAGGCTGACCAGGTTGAAAACGGTGAAGAGACTGGCTCATGATGCAAATGAAATCTGGATTGTGAATTTTCAGCTCAACTGGTTCTCACTTTTCTTAAGCACCCTGTGGCACCTCAGTACAATAAATATAAACCAGGAGCAACCAGCAAGTGGAGTTTGATTTTATTCGCATCCCTCTTTAGGGACTTAGGATGCATAACAGATTAACACAATTAACAGAGCTCTGGATTTTTAATGCTGCCGGCTCTTGCCTTAAGAGTTTCTGTTTTTAGGTCTTACCATCTGAGTATGTCTAATAAGATTTTTTAAAATTTCATTCACCAGGGAGCAAGATGATTATAGACGTATATCAGACATTTTGGACTTGAACCAATCCCATCATCGGGGGTTAGATAGGAAGAAGAGTTAGTATACAAAGAGCAAGGCCTGTGGCACTTTGAAGACTTAAAGACTTTTGATTTGGCACATTTAATGGATTGTCTTGATGGTGCCGTAATTTTTCCCCCTTGGTTTGGTATCTGTTCCTGTCTCTCTCATCTGGTCACCGCAGACACCCTGCTAGGCATTGATAGTGGTTACTATCTCTTCTCAGAGCTCCATATGGACAAAGTGCAATGGAGCGACATCTTCTTCCTCTGATCACCAACACAAAATTAAGTTTGTGGAAATATTGGCACAAGGCTGGAGGCAAGAAAGGTTTGCTTAGATGGATTTCTGAACCTCAAGGTCTCAAGGCAGTCTACCAGAGAATATCGCTGGAAAGCATCAAAAGAGGAACATTGCTCCCATGCTCTGCTTGATTTCTGCAAGGTATCTCTTCCTCCGCACCACTCCCAACAGCATGCTGGACTGGATCTGAGCAGAGAAAAGTTAGGGATTTTTTAATGGCCTCCCTCGAGTATGGACAGGTGGAGGATTCTGGAGGTTATTGTCCAAAAAAGTCATAGGCAGAGTGGTGTAGTGGTTTGTGTGGTGGACTACAACTTTGGAGATCAGGGTTCGAATCTCTACTTGGTCATGGAAACCCCCTGGGTGACCTTGGGGAAGTCACACACTCCCAGCCCTAGAAAACACCATTATAGGTACAATTTAGGTGTTGCCATAAGTTAGAAACGACCTGAAGGCACACAATGAAAATAAGCTATGGGATTCTGATATTTGTCCAAAAAAAGTAACCTCTTCAAGCTCTGGGACCTGGATGGCCCCTTGTTCTGATCCAACAGGGCTCTTCTACAATTCTGAGCAGTGCCAGGATACTACCAGATCAGACACAGACCACAGGCTTAGAGAAAAATAAGGTTTATTTACAGAAAAAGGATCACGGCATACAAGGCAAAAAAGTCAGTACTAGGCCACACAGAAAGATGGAGAGAAGAGGCAACCGCTTCCAAAATCAGAAGCCAAGAGCAGATTTTCAGGAATGTTTTGAAGAGATTACACCAGCTTGCTAGGCAAGACAGCCAAAGCATCATTTAATTTGCATATCTTGGAAAAGTTAACTTCCAAACTATAATTCCCCAAATCACCCAGCCACCTTGGCCACTGCCTATATTGTCCAGAGGATTCTGGGATTTGCAGGGCAAAAAGTTTAACTTTTTCAAGCTCCAAGACACTGTCAACAATGGAACTGAGATTCATGGTATACTGCAGTGGCCAAAGGGATTCTACTAAGACACAGGTTCAAATTCTGCACAGCCGAGGAAACCAAGATGCCTTATGGACATACATGCATGCATCTACCCTGATCTCCAGAGTTTGGAGATCCCAGAGGCCACAAAAAAGCAGTTGTTTTGATGCATGGTTAATACAAGTGGCCATTGCAAGCTCTGCCTCTCTCAGGTCGTTGTCCCAACATGGAACCAAAAAAGACTAGCAGAATCCCCACAAGTGGCATGAAGATCTGAAAGGAAAAGTCAGTGACTGCTGCTTCCCTTTGCTGTTCTTTTGAGGAAAGAATCCTGAACTCTGTATCGACCCTTCCCCAGTTGAGTTATCTCCAGGTACTGGAGTACAACCCCCTATGTTGGGGACAATGGAGGGGACAGTCCAACATGTATAGATGTTTGGTTGGGAAAGGTTGCCCTACATCTGTGAGTAGGGGAAGGAACTCTGTTCCTAAATAACATTCATATTCTTCTCCTCCAAATACTTTTAATTTTTCTGTGCCAATTAACAGTACGATAAATAAGAGGCCAAGGAATCAGCTGTCATTAGAAAGAGATGTACAGCATGGAACTCAGTGAGAGGTTTGCATTTTGCTCCCCCAGTTTGCATTTTGCTCACCCTGGAACCAGAGGTGTTGCTTTTTTAAAAAATGGTTCAAGACTAATGGAGTTGTGGAGGAAGAATTAGGTTTGAAGAGAGGTGATCTAATTGCCAAGGGGCATTTCCTTCCCAAATCTCCATTAGCAAGACTGGCTAGTCCCAGGCTGAAGGCAAAAGACGTCCGGCACTGCCCCGTACATCCTATGCAGTGCAGTTCCCATCCACCAAACCTGAGCAGCACTGTAAGTGTGTCTGTGTCTTATGCTTCTGCTTCTTCACAAAAACACTCGCTGACATGAATTGTCCAGCATGCTGCTAATGATATATGCAGGTGCAAGTTCACCTTATGCCTTAAATGTATTTTTGGTGGGTTGTTGTGGGGGTTGGTATTCTCTTCCACCCTCCACAATGACCTAAAGACTGCCCCATGGAGAAGCGTTGTTCAGCTACTGCAGTCTGCCCCACTCAAGGCCATTCTGTGGGTGGTGAAGAGCAAGGGGGTTGGAAATACATCTGGCTATGTCCTCATAGCCACATGCAGGATGATTACATTATCCATCGAGACCAACGAAAGATCTCAGTGGATGATATAATTATTCCATGTCTGGCTACTAGGACACAGCCAGACACAGAACAGCCTGGGGAAAGCTACAGCGATTAACCTATGAGTCCAGGGTTTGCTGAGGGCAAAGATGTAGTGCAGAACTGTTAGGCTACAATGTGCCATCCAGGATTTCAGCTGCTGTTTGTGCACAAACATCAATAATTCCATGATTCCCACCCCCCAGAGAATCCTTTTCAGGCTCATCTCCTTGCAGTAAACAATGGAGGAAGGAGTTCCAAATGGCGGGTGGTTAAGAAATGACGCCCTATGTATTTTGCCATGTTCTGAGCAGGCGAGCAGTCATGGCAATATTCCTTGTTGGAGAGCTGAGCAGCCCTCATGTTTCCGCCCACTGCAGGAACTACGTTCTTGTCTCAAGTTTATTCATGTACTCCTGCAGTGCTTGCAGCCGAGCATCAATCTCAGAGAGGTCAGCGGATGGTTCATCATATAGATTCTCTGTCAGGGAAGGAAACAGGTGTTACCACAGCCAAAGCCCAGTGAGCAAGAATTAGGGAAGGCTCCCACAATGTCTTGCATCAAGAAAAGAGGCAAGGAATTTCCTATAATGCCCTGCACCAACAGGGCAGATGAAGAAAGATGCAACTGTTCCCCTGGTTTAAACAAAGGGAACAAATCATCTTGCAGTAGTGGCAAAAGTTCTTAGCAAGATGAGATTTCAAACAACAAGGCATGTGCATGGGCACACATGCTCCATTACCACTTTGTGGGCAAGGTTCAAAGAGGAAGCTCCCAATCCAACTTTCCTCTAGTCTCGCCACTTGTCTCTATGGTTTTAGCTGGAGACTGCCCGAGACTCCAAAGACCTTACCTTTATCTGCTTGCTTGCCCAGAGTGGGAGTGCTTGCCAAGTGCTTTCGATGACCACCGTCTGCACGGGGGACCTGGACAGAGAAGGAGGATCTGTGAGGGCTTCTACTTATCCCACCACTATGGTCACTTCCTCCATACCTACAACTATGGCATCAAATGTGGGGACCTTCTAGATTGAACTTCTAGGTTGAACTTGATGGCCCATGAGGCCTCTACCAGTTCTGAGATTCAATTAAGCAACTGCATCTAGCCAGGGAGTTCCACCAGACCATGGCAATTCTGGAAGAGGAACCCTCCCTGCAGACCACTTACCATGGTGGGGCCATTCCAAGACGAGGAACTCAAGGGTTTCCTGCCCCTTGCCACTCGCTTCCGGCCCCTGAGGGACAAATGCACAAAAAATCACAGTGGAATAGTTAGAGCACTGACATGGCACTATGAATATTCCCATATTAACCACAGGTAAGTAAACAAACTTGTAAATAAATTCAGTCTATTTCTGACCTGTGGAAAGACTCAAACACCTTTGCTTCATAAACCCAGTCATCTGAAAACTGGGGGGAACAACACTCTGGTCTCCCAGGACTTTATGGTGCCTGGGGACAGTCTATTGTCCACTAGCATCACAAAGCCACATGTAAGTGCATTCTAGAAGCAAGTGCAAGAACGGGAGGAAAAAGTAGCCCACAAAGGGATTCTGAGGGGGAGGCAATGTGCCCCTTTCTATCCACAGAAAGTTACCCCCCTAGATTGGAAATTAAATTGAAAAATTAAGATTGGAAGTTTAGTAGGATATGACCTAGGCACCCCATGCACCCGAGAGTACAAAAGAATACATCAGAGCTTATCTTCCCTCTCCCTCCTTCAGTTCTCACCGTGGTGCAACAGGTTCTGAATATTCGTCCATCTCACTCCCTGAGCTTGCAGAGGAATGCCTGCTGCGGAAGCTTTCCACTGCAAAAGAGAGGTTAGTCCAAGGTGAGTAATAGGAAACACAGTGCAGATTTAAAATGAATTAAATTCATTTTAATTCTTTCTTGGTTTAATCTAGTTTTAAGGGGTGGGAGGGTTAGGGTGTGGGATCTGGGAATGTTTTAATTGCTATGAAAGAACTGAAAAAGATACTGAAGAACGAAGACATACAACTGAGCACTAAAGTCAGAATTGTCCAGGCCACTGTATTCCCTGTATGTGCGAGAGCTGGACAGTGAAGGAAGCAGACAGAAAGAAAATCAACTCC